TCTTTCTCATGTCGCGTCACATCGTGGCGACGAAACCGGTCCTGAGATTGTCTCCTCCATTTGCCGCGACACGTCGTGACATTTTGTGTCGGGATAACTGTAGCGTGCCCCCCTTTTCTTGCTGCTCGCACCGTTCGCTGGCTTTTCGCGCCGGCGGAGATACGCGGCCCATTGACGATCATGCGGCGATGATGACGGCGACGTTGGTGTCGCGTAACCCTACCCTAACCTTGCCTAATCTAACCTGACCGTACGCGCGCGGGCGGCACGGTGACCTTGCTAGTTATGCTTGTCGACCGTTATTTCGACACTCCAAATGGGCGGGAATTTCTACGAGAAATAAGATAGATATATAAGCTGTTATTTAACTCGTGACATATGGATCCTGACAACCTTGGAGCCTTTTTAAATTTATAATGACTTGGAATAATTTTATGTTTTATAATTTTATTTTTTCATATAAATTTTATTTTATTCATATAAGCTGATTATCATGATATATTTATGCGTTGCACAATTTTTATATTGAAAAAATTTTAAAACTTTTAAAATTAAAATAATAAAAAACTTTAGTGGATCCCAAGAGAAGAATCCATATATTTCTTTAGCATTACAAAAACTTTAAAAAGAAATTGTTTATCATTCTCATGTAACGTGTCTTTCAAGTCTTGTTAGAAATCTGCTTTGAATTTTGTTTCTTATAAAAATCCACATGAATCCTCATTTGGAGATGTTATTAAGAATGTTCAGTATTGATTGTAAAATGAAATCTTTATATTTTTCCCTTTAATTTATTGTTATTAAATGTTGTTGTTAAACGTTAAATTTTGGAATGACGAAATTCTCCGCTGAAACGTAACTTACATAAATGACAATATTTCTCAATTGTCCATGAGTAATAAATCTCGGAGGATGATAACCTGGTAGAGATTGGAATCGATATAATGACGTAGGTGCTATGCAAACAGCTGAATATATAATGTATTGTTTGTTGTTGGCTGTAACTTAAACGTTTGACAATTTTTAGAAGGAATATAGTAGAACGTGCGACAAAATACAATGGATTAAATGGCTATGGAAACTTGTAAAATTACGTCCATTTGCGAGATTCGGTTTCCATTAAGGAAAATGATACTATGTCAGCGCGCGAGAGCATCCGCTCGTTGTAAACGATGATGATGAATGACAGTGCAGAACAGTGCGGAGAGCAACGCGTGTAGATAGAAACTCAAGAAGTAGTTGATTTCAAATTTCGACATCAGATTTCGACGTCATATATTTTATGACATCAGAGAAATTAAATTTCGACGCTAATGGAATGGCTATAATAACTGATTTGTCGAAATGGAGATCAATAAGAATTAATAATTTTTATGAAATATTTTTTTTTACAAAATATTTTTTATTTAATTATAGAAATATAAAATTTATTTAACTATAAAATTCACATGAAATCTCTCCTATCTTTGTTACACATGTTATCCTATACTCTTGTTTCGCGTAAAGCTAAACATTTCCTATATTTGCAGCACTGAAAATCGAGATTGTTAGAAATCGTATTTCAATTCCTGTTAGATATACGCAATACTCGCTATCACCGAGTACTAGAATTATATCCGCAATGTGTAATCAGCAATACGTTGTCAAGCAGATCTAGCAGTCATTTAGTTATGAAAGATCAATAATCGATGGTAGAATCAAATAACAAACGGAACTTCTCTGGATCTCAAAGGTCCCCCCCCCTCTCTCTATCTCTCTCTCTCTCCCCCCCCTCTCACGCACCATACACTACAATCTTTGCGTTTATTTCCAGACCCCAATCTTTGCCAGCAGTGATCTATTTTTATCAGAACTCGCGTATACGTAAAACGTGAACGCTGTCTTTTGGACGGAAACAGTAACCTCAAGGATAAAAAAAGCTTCGCAAGAAAAATAAGCAAATCTTGCTTTTCTGATGAGCTTTTTTCCCTCGATTATTTCGTTACAACAGTATTTTCACGATAATACATACAATAACACGTGTAACCGCATCCCGACGTCACGGATAACCGCCAATATTCCCGAAAGATGTAGTAATAATTTTTTAAAAAAAAA